TAAGACTCTCAACATTCTTACTTTTTTATATTTCTTAAATCAACTTGCTGTGCAGACAATTTGTCTGTAATATAGCTGTGAAACTGTTGATAAATTTTTTGACTTGTTGCACTGCCAGAGTTGCTGCTATCTTGAATCCATATTTTCGATTATGCTGAGCTGAAACACAGCTAGCATTTCAATGATTGCACTCTGTCTCTTAAATATTTAATGCACTGTTACATCTGCAGGCTGCCATGTACATTCACCATTATGTTATATTACATCTGTGAGGAGATGGTTTACTTGTAAATGAGCATATGAATTGTGTTTTTGAAGCTTTGCTCTGTGCAATCAATCTGCATGTTGCAATTATGCTATTATTGTTGGGAGGATTTTTATAAATTGCTTCTTTCTGTTTAATGACCCAACAACTGCAGCAAAACACTGTATTTTATCTCCTGTTTTATACGTGTATGTTTATATAAAGGATACATGTGAATGTGCTGAAACAAGGGTAAACTTTTCTTTCCTGCTAAAAATGATGACTATTAAAGCACTGACCAGGATGTAGAGTGCAACATTTTGAACATAACTGAGATGCTTCATTTATATCACCTCATGTGTTGGTTGTTACTTGTTGTCCCTCTTGTTTGACGGCGCAGAAAACCAAAAACTATTTGTCAGCACCGGGAATAAATGTCCTTTGTTTTAATCCCTCTGGTGTCTCTTGCACATTGAAGATGCATTCAGAATATTTGTATTTTTAAATATTTGTTTTGGTTTTTCTAGCTTTATTAGCTAGTTTAGGTTTTTAAACTGAAATTAAGCCTCATGGTCTTGTATTGAATCAAATCAGTTGGTGTTGGAGGCGAAAGCTAAAATGTAGTCTGAAAGGGGTCATGCAAAAGCTGATTTTAATTTTCTTAAACCATCTCCAGGGCCAAAGATGCACAGGCGGTACATGGAAACATTCATTTCAATAAGTTTCTGTTTGCTTTGGATACTTATTTTCACTCTTATTAACATAAGAGTAACAAAGTTACAAGACAGTGTGCTGTCAGCGATCCTCCTGTGTGAACTGTTCAACATCAATCCATCCGTTTTCCTCGCTGGTGCGGTGCCTATCTCCAGCTTTCTATGGCCGAGATGCGGGGTACACCCTGGACAGGTCGCCAGTGCATTGCAGAGCTTCACAGAGACAAACAGGACAAACAACCATTCACACAATCACACCTAAGATAATTTAAAGAAGCCAATTAACCTAAAATTCATGTTTTTGGATTGTGGGAGGAAGCTGGATCAACCAGAGAGAACCCTACATGCTCAGAGAGAACATGCAAACTCCATGCAGAAAGACTCTGGGCTAGGAATTGAACCCAGGACCTACTTGCTGCAAGACAGCAGTGCTATCCGATGTGCCTCTGACCAGCCCATTGCTCAACATATCTGTGTATATTATGCAGGGGCCATAAATAATTCATTTAAACAGTATAGATGTAGAATTTGTGAAGATTTATCAGCAAGTTGTCTGAGCAGTGTGTCATTTCAAGGTATGAATGCTTCCTGGGAATCCGATGTGTTCCACAGAAGGGGAACTGAAGAACATAGAGGGTTTGAGTGGTTTTCTCCTGAAGTCCAACATCATTCTCAAATGTTTTCTGCTTTTTTGGGTATAATAAGAGAGGACAAAGGGGTCCGCTGTAAACTTCAGGACTTTCTCACACACAGGAAGATCAGCTGTGGCCCTAAAACCAGTCCAGTGGAAATAATCATCAGTTTTTTATTAACCATTCCATTCAAAAATGTTTTTAAAAAAAGCATAACTCAAAACGACAGTTTTAAGATTGCCTCTGGTCATGGCGTCATGGACAAGTGTTTATCTTCACCCTTTAATGGATTTACTGTTACACTGAATGAAGACTAATCTAATGCAGATTGACAGTAAAGAATCAGAATCATCTCTTTCTGTGTGTTAGATTGATAAAATACCCACAGTTTGTGTTTATGATGGGAAACTAGGTGCAGTTTTTCACAGCAGGGCTAATCCTAAGAATATATAAACAAAGGAATATAAATAAAATTATGGGAGCTTCAGTCACTGGAGTTGATCTTCAAATAATATTAAGCTGCTATAAGCCAGGATTTCCCTGCCTGCAGTAGAAAGATGTCATGCAGCATTGCTTGTAGAAAGCATAACATTGTGGGAGAGGGGTAACAACTAGTCGAATGGGGGCAGCATTTCAGTAGATTATAAAAAATAACCAATTCACATCTTTGGATTACAACATATTTACATCTAAATGTAGAAAGATACCACTTATGCTGTTTTTTTCCACTCATCTTAAAGAACATCCAGATGTTTGCTGTGGTTATTGGTCAATCTGCTGATTAGCTGCAAACTGATCAAGAAAAAACACAGGAAGCAGAGCAAGATCCTCAAAATCCATCCATCTATCCATTTTCAAACACGCTTATCCCAAGTGGGGTCGCGAGGGATGCTGGTGCCTATCTCCAGCTGTCAACAGGCGAGAGGCGGGGTCCACCCTGGATAGGTCGCCAGTCCATATCCTCAAAATCATTGAGTCCATTTCATTCATAGAGAGCAGCTGTAGCACCATTTTAAAAAGGGCACCCAATTCTTTCTAAGAAAACAAACATAAACACATTTATTATTTGCTAGTATAGCACAATATCCCATATGTTTTAGCCTCTTTAATCTAAAGGACAATCATATGCCACTTAAGATACATTTCACAATTTTCATTGCTGTCACAGAAGGGACGATTACGTGTTCGCTAACACACAGCCTAATTATAGGAAAAAGAAACAAGAATAATTTTCTATTTAAATCCAGTTTTAAGATTAAATGAATTATCTGTACTCGAAAAACAGCAGATCTTTTCTAAAGTATTATTTTTAAAATAAACTTATTGAGTGAGTTTGAAAGGGTAAATAATCATAACCATTTATTGTCCTACAAATAAAAACCAAACAGAGCAAGTATTTGTTTCTTTTCTGCAGAAAAGTGAGAGAGAGGACAGACCCTGAAAAGTTTGTACTCAACTCTGCCCAAACCTCTCTTTTCTGCTGCTTTTATTATTGGACTTCAAAGGAATTACAGGAGTGTTCAAACGTTACCAGGAGGGGTCTGATGATATCAGCAGGGGTCAGACGTTATCAGTCACCTACGGCTGCATAGCTGAAGAATACCCTGAGAGAAATATTTGCTCTCCTTATTTAGAACAATACTTAACATTCCTGGGCCAAATGCTTGTAACTTGAAATAAAATGATAAGATATACATGTTTCTAATAGATTTTTGTTTCATTACTGTAACAATTTAAATAGAAATTAGAAACAATATTTTGTTAATTAAAATGTTTTAAATAATGTTTAAATTAAAAAAACAGTTTTGAGTGTAAACTTTAGTGTTTTCTAAAATTTTGTGTTTTCTTAATTATTTTGTTTGTTTTTCAAAATTATTATTATTTTTTTTAAACTTTGTACAGGTTCTATATTTGTAATTTTCTTTTTAAAATGTCTGGGGTTTTTTCTGACTGAGTTTTACGAATGCATTCTCTTCAAATTGTGTTTCACAGAACACATTTTCCTCATTTCACGCCCAATACAAACAATTTGCTCTTGACCGTTGATCAAAACCCTGTTGCTGCTAACATCCAAAAGATGAATAGAAATGCATCTTCAGTCTTTCCAGAGGAAAAGGGAGGAGAATGGGATCGGGAAAAATACGTTTTGAAAAGAATACACTTTGTAAAACCCAATCAAAAAATTACAAATATAGATTTTAAAAATTCTTATTTGTTTTCTTTTTACAAAATAAGCTAAAGTTAAATTTGGAAGAAAAAATATAATCACCAAATCTGAGAAAGCAAAACCTTTAAACCTGTTTTTAATAATAAAAAAAACACATATAAAAAAAAATCTAGGTTTTATTTCAGGATCACATTTTTTTATTTAATTTGGAAACAAATCCACTTCCTTTGTTTCTCTACATTTTGGCTGCAAGAATAATTATTATTAATCACTTATTGCAATATAACATTTATGCAGCAATTAAGAGATCTTCATCATCAAATCACAGAACCTCATTAAAAAAACACAAACTACTTAAGGCCCTGTCCACACGAAGTCAAAACGAACACGAAACGCTAATATTTTCCAGAACGTTTGTCGTAAAGACGGAGACGTAAAATAAATGTGATCGTCCACACAAATCCATGAAAACGCTGCAAAATGTATGCCAGGCCTATAAGTGGCGCTGTGGTGCCAAAGCAAAAATAGGCGACGAAATGTTGGGAATGCGCACTAATATTTATACATGGTTGCCCTGCGGGTCCATTTTCGTGGTTCAGTCAAATTCAGGTGCTGAACTATGTCGTCGATATTGCTCTGTTCTTCCTGGAGATATTCCAGAAGAAGAAGATTCTGTTGTAAGCCCGACAGCAGGGTGAGTAGCATGAGCAGCAACCATTCAACACAGTACGGCGCCATTGTTGTTGTGATACTGTGTCGCGCATGCGTGTTTAGAGGTGACGCTATGATGCATGCGTGTAAAAAAAAAATGCGGTTAGAGCTTAAAGATGGAAACGCGAAAACAGCGTTTCAAAATCTTCCCACTCTGAAGGCTGAATAAAAAAAAAGATTGTTTACAGACCTTCGGAACGCCGGCTTCGTATGGATGAGAGGCTGGTTTGGTGAAAAATTTGTGCGTTTAGGCCAGGGTTTGGCTTCGTGTGGACGGGGCCTAAGAAGTCCATTTCTGCTCTTTTTGTTTGATGCCTGTTTCACACCTGAATGTACTCACCTGTTGAAACTGAAGCATGACACATACCTATGGAATGCCTTTACTATGTAAAAATTTACCAATATGAATAAGCTATTTTTTCACATGCTTTTTCCACTCAACATGGACGGAAACAATAATAATATTAAAAACACCCCTCTGAGGACCTGAAAGTTTGTTGCTGTTTTCAGTGAATAAAAAACAGGAAACAATGTTTATTTAATCCATCTGTCTGTCATGTAATGTACCCATGGGATGATTCACCAGTTTAAACATTGAATCAGTTTATAGTTAGAAATGCAAACACAAGTTTACTCTCCTTATTTGCAATGACGGGTAAACCGGGTGAGGCCATGTATGTGCACATAGAATACACACAGAGTTCCACATCTTCATATCTCAGACATGGTTGAAGTTGTGAAGGTTACACCCATCTTAGGAACAGCAGAGTAACACCCAAAAAAGTACACATACAATTTGTATATAGATGGCTTCATCTAAAACGGAGATAATTACAGTCACTGCTTAGTTTATGGAGTGGAAGGACGTCTATGTTAAAGATCCAATGTCTGTGCTTGAGTTTCCCTCCATGTCATGATGAGGTTCCTCTGAAGTTCACTTTGGAAAATGGCTTCCCACTGGCTTTACTTCTGCTGAGGAATAAAACATGACAGCTATCAGTGAGATCAAATCATCCAGGCTTTAGTGTTCTACATTTGTAACACTGAGATACCTCTGTCTCTGTGCTTCCAGCCTCTGAATCAGGATCCTGTTGAACCACAGAACAGGAACTATTTAATACTATGTAAACAAACTCACTGCAGTAGAGTCTACTGCTAAGATGAACATGATCTACTCTAATGTCCGGGCTTCGCGTTGCACTGACTTTGGGCTTGTCTTTAATTTGCTTCAAGGCTGTAATAGGTTTGAGTCTAAACGGACGGACTTGCTGTCCTGCTGGAAACATAAAAATGTCCCACCTGTTTTAGGTCATGTTGTAAGGTGGCCAAGGATTTAAGGCTTCAGCAGGAAATCTGCAGGTACATGTAGGAATCACACAGTGGCTTGCAAAAGAATTGATAACCCTTGACCTTTTCCACACTTTGTCACGTTCCCTTTATGTGGTATACAACTGTAAACTCCAAAGAGAATATATAAGCTTTTTTTTTCTTTCTCTGAGTGCAACCAATCACCTTCAGTAGTCACCTCATGATTGCTAATGACAGCATAGACTCGTGATCTCAAATGCAGCTGCTCTGTGATGGCCTCAAAGTTTGTTTAGGAAAATATTGGGGAGCAAGCAGCATCATGAAGTCCAAAGAACAAACCAAATGTGACGGATAAACTTACAGGCCAGACAAGAAAAGTACTAGTCAAAGATGCAGCCAAGCAGCTCATGGAGGCTCACGAACTGCAGAGACCAACGGTTGAGTTTAGGTTTAGTCCCATCTGCAGTTTGCCAGAATCCATGTTGGTAATGCAGAATACATATGGAAGAGGTTGGTCAAATTAGACCCCAGTTTAACTTTTTGGCCAAAGTGCAAAACTAACAATGCACATCACAGCACACCATCCTCACTGTCAGTTATGGTGGTGGCAGCATCATCAGCACCATCTAAAAAGGCTGGAGAATGGGACAGAGGTTTACATTCCATTAGGACTCACTCACTGACTCACTCATTTAAAAAAAAGAAACGTGTGACGTTAGAATGGGCCAATCAATGTCCAGACCTGAACCCAGTTAAGAAAATTGGTGTTGAAAACATTCTCCATCTAATCTGACCATGCTGGAGGTGTTTAGCAAAGAATGGGGATAAATCTCTGTCACTAAATGGGCAAAGCTGATAGAGATGGACCCTTAAAGACATTAAGCTGTAACTGCAGCAAAAGGTGGTTTGACAAAGTTTTTACCCAGGTGGCTGAATACCTTGGCACAATGGTTAATGGTTAATTTTCTTTCTACTTTAAAGTCGTATACCACTGTTGCATACATTTTCAACAAAATAAATTTCTGTTTGTAGTAGTAATGTGACAAAATGTGGAAAAATTCAAGGGGTATGAATATGTTTGCGACGCAATAAACAGGAAACGGAAAGAACCAAGGAAACAACAATATAAACCGAGGACCTGATGACATGGATCCAGAGGAACAGAACTTAAATACCAGTGAGAAGAAAAGAAAACTGCATGGAAGACAAATGGGTGTAGTTAACGACAGAAAAACATGTAACGTCTGAATCATAACATTATCCCATCCCTAAGGGTGGATATGGGCTCCAAGCAGAGTCCAGACAAAAGCCTGTCAACCAAGTCAATCAGGGGGATATTCCTTAAAGGGCAAACCTAAGGGCTGGAGACCATGAAGGAACTTTGGAGATGCCTGGAGACAACCAGCTAGCTCTGGTGACTTTAGTGGAAATTGTTAAGGACACTCAAATTCAACAAGTGCTGTCTGAATAGTCAGTAAGGAAGATGCAGGAAGAAGAACCTGGAGAGAAAGTTCAGATGCTGCCAGGAGGGAGGAGGAGGTTCTAGTGCAGGGTATTGGGTTGTGAAGCTGGCATTGTTGCAGGATCCCTCCCTGAAAACCTATAAGGAACCAAAGAGCAGGTTTGGGAGGAAGTGGCAAAAGGCTTGTCCACCCTTCAAGGAAACAGTCCAGGGCATCAAGCACCAAACCTGTTTATACCAGAGTCTTCTCAGCTTTAGAAGAACATCATGATGAAGGGGAGCACCTCCTGTAGAAGGGCCCATAATGGCTGCCGCTGCTTATCCACTTCACACTAAGTCGCTACCACTTGGTGATAGAAGTACTCTAACAGTGATTACCTCTGCTGCTGTTGCTTGATTCTTCTGGAGGTCATTGTCCTGGTGTCATGTTATGAGGCTGAGAAGGACTGAAAGCTGCAGCAGGACATCGACAAGAACACATTGAAGGACATGTATTTTAATGAAAGGGATAAACTGACTGGACACAAAGGGAACCAGGGAAACAGAAATGTATACAGAGGACTTGACAACAAAAGCAAACAAGAAATGAACTTGAATACAATTGAGAGGAAGGGAAACTACACAGAACACAGGAGGGTGTGATTAACAAACAGCAAGAAGATGCAAATCATGACAGTTTTTGTTGAATGTGGTGTGGCCTCAGAGTGGGGGAGGGATCAGAATGAGCTGAGGGTCTTGAATGTGAGAGCTGCAGATTAGAGTTGAACCCCGAACCGCCCCCCCCCAAGCACTAACCCTTAGCTATCAATTTTCACTCCCAATAAAGTCTCACTCTCAGCTGTGGAAGGCGCCTTGATTGAAGGTGGGTTCAGGGGTGCAGGGTGGTGATGGGGGGTAAAAATTAAAATTGGACTGCTTCCCTCCAACAGAAAAGGAAAGCAGTCATATCTATGGCAGTGTGGGTGGTTGTAGCTGTGGGGCATTAAACAAGTGCCTACACAGATACTGACTATTTAAGAGCTGAATGGTCCACTTGCCCTAGCTACTATGTGGTTTTGGACACCCCTTAATGTGGCGGACCTTCAGCAGGGATGCACAAACAAAGGGTAAGTGCTTAGGTTTAGTGTTTGAGGGCGGTATTGGGCCTACAAAAGGCTCTTGGAAGGACAGAGGGCACTCTCATGATAAGAAGAGCTTTCAGTGCGGGAGGTGGAAAAATCACGATCTGCCTGATAACTGGCTTTACTTTTCTGCACACAGGTGGCTGCGTCCTAGTCCACAATAATCTGTTTTATCTCAATCTGATGATTGTGCACTGGATTTCTGAACATGCATAGTAGAATGACCACAGTAGAATATTTGTTCCCCACTTGGTGCCAAATCATCCCTGATCTCTCTATTCATGCAATCCACAGTACCCCAAAAGTTGCACTGAGGAAGCTGCCAAGTTTGTGATGGATCCTTAGAAAATATCCTCCTGAACTGGAAGATCTTGTGGATCAGATCTATCTTTAGATTAAGGTATGTATTTAAAATTTAGAAGAAAAAAAACATTTATATATAGAATTAGGATGTAGAAAAATATTTAGCAAATATAGATATATTTAGATATAGAATTGATATCTATATTTGTTTGCTATTTAATGTCAAAGAAAAAGTCCTAAACCTGATTAAAGAGCAAAAATAGATATGATGTCGACATATGACCCTGTTTTTATGACTGCGTGTTTTACTGGATAATTTATTATTGTTCTTTTAGAATGTGCATTAACTTTTTCAGTAGCTTATAAGAAGGCCAGTGCAACAGGAAAAATGAATCTGCAAAGCCGGGTTAGGGGAGGTGACGCAAGCAGAGCCCATGAGAAAAGCCGCAGCATACCTGCGGAATGAAAAAGGCCAATCTTTTTGCAGACAGTGAGCCCTGACTGGTTTAACCCTGTCATCAACCTTCCTTCAAGCACTTTTATTGACAGCCCCAATGAGCAGCTGCTGTGATGATGCTGAACAGGCAGCACAGTTTGACACAGGTCAAGGTTTCTGAAATTTTTCTTCCTCACTAATTTTCCATATTCTAGCATATTTCCTCCAATAGCAAAAGAAACGAGTTGTGTTAATCACATCACCTAGTCATAATGTTATGCTTGATCAGAGTACATTTAATCAAAACCCAAAAGGTTTTCAGAAAAAGATTTAACCTGAAGAACTCATTTCCAGTGATAGTCTCACTGCTTTCATGGTGTGTTTAAGTAAAACTAAAAGAAAACAGAACTTACCTGTGTGTGAGTGTCTGTATATTTGAATTTCATGTTCTTGTAAAACTTTCTTTTTGGTAGCAAATAGAGCAGCACCAAGTCGCAGACCACAGTCGCCTACAGATAAAAAAAAATATTTTGTGTGTTTGACTCTTATTGTTGATGTATTAATTTAGGAATGATGGGCAGAAACATACCACTCCAAAAATCCCCACGCCTGAGCCTATTGCTGTGAGTGTTGGAATTATATCAAATTTTCTTGCCTTTAAAAAAAAGCCTCCAGTTAAAAAAGCTAACTTTTCTCCTAGTTTCAATTCAAAATTCACAGAAAACAAGTAAAAATTGCACTCACCAGTGATTGCACTATGATATCAAACCTGATGCCAAACAGTTTGAGGAGGGTCCTCTTGGCTTCATTATTCTCCATATAATGCTTGGCATATCTGTAAACAATCACAGGGATCTTCACTCCTTCTACTGTAACTCAAACCTTGGATAATTATCATCCTTTTACTCAATAAGCAGGCTTCAGTAGAGCATATTGGAGCATTCTGTGTTGGTGCGAACTATCAAAGCACCATATTAAAATTTAGCAGGGGCGCCCTATGGGGGGGTGGGGGGCGGGTGAGTTAGGCAGGGCCTTCGTCTGAGGTGGGGCCCAAAAGAAGAAAATTTTTATCCTGCTATATTATAGTATATAATATCATATTACATTAGATTACATTATATTATACCATCAAAAGACATCTATAAATCTCATGAGCAGCCTGAAGCAGCCACACCAAAAATACATGTTTTGTCATTACACGTACACATGAGGGCGAGCATAAAAATGGGCATAAAAACAATCTGTCCTTTAAAGTCATAGGGAAATCATATTTATATTTCGAATCTGTTAGTTCAATCTCTAACGTTATGCTCTCTCTGCTTTTCCTCAGAGTAGCTTTGCCTCGTCTTTTCCTGTTTGGCTGTAACTCCATCCTGGAGAGAAATATCTGCTGTGCTGCTTCCATCAACAGCTTTGTTTGTAGATGTTGGAGTTTGGCCTGTTTTCCAGTGTAGTCCTGTTTCTCTGACCGTGACTGGCTGGATGTGCTCTCTTCCTCCTCTAACATGGGAGCTGGATCAGAGCTCGTCTGCCTGGCTGTGTGTTTCCTGGACGGGGCCGCCTTTTACATCTGCTTTTTGTATCTCTGCTTCTGTCTCCTTGAACCCCAGTCGGCCTCGGCAGATGGCCGCTCACATTGAGCCTGGTTCTGCTGGAGGTTTCTTCCTGTTAAAAGGGTGTTTTTCCTCTCCACTGTTGCTACAAGCATGCTTAATGTGAGGGATTGGCTTTGAGTCAATTAGTCGATGGAATCAAATGGTTTTCCTTAGATAGAAAACTTTGTATCAATTTGACTGTATGATCTGATTGAACTGTAAAGTGTCTTAAGTTGATATGTATTGTAAATTGGCGCAATAGAAATAAACTGAATTGAATTGAAATAATTCAGGCTTAAACATGCATATAAATGTACTCTTTATCAGACGATAATGTCCACAAATTTTGAAAATCCTGTCTTAAAATCTTTTTTTTTTTTCGTTATCTTATGCAGGCCAGTTAGTCATACGTCAGCTCGTACACCTAAATTCGGCCAGTCATATATCAACAGTCATCTGTCAATCAATTTTTTTCTCGGTCATAACATCTTGAATCATATGTCATAGCTAATATACGCAACCGTTAAAATAAGAAATGAGAATCACTTCCTTTCCCATTGAGTCCAGTGTTCACGGGGATGGGCGTCAGTATCTTCAGCAGGCGTAGAGCTAACAGAACTGGCAGCGCTGCGAGGCAAGGACACAAACATGTACGGTTGTAAGCCTTCTTTGCCAAACCAAGCTTCTGCCACCCTGGCGTCCTCTTCCACAACATCTTCGTCCCAACTTCCTCCTCTAAATAAAAAATGTATGACGGAGGAGACTCATCCACAACCTCCAACACAAAACTCTCCTCCTCTTGCATGTGTTACTGTCCATAGCGTTCCTTGACAGAATTGTTTCTAAGTCACCAATTTAGTGCTACTTGGTCCTAATGGAATTTCCCATTGGGAACCTACTAGCACTTAGTTGCTAACTGGTTAGCAAGATGTTTCGGAGACACCGGCCACGATCAAACTCTTGCTTGCGAACCTTCTGCCACAACAATCCCGCCTCCTTAATAAGCGACCAATCACATTCAATTTATTCCCTCATGTAAAGTCAGGTTTGGGGGGGCAATATCAATGTCTTTCAGTGTCTTTCAGTCCAGGAAACACACAGCCAATTCCTAGCGGCGTTCCTGGTATCTGTGATTGAGACGAGGAAACATCCTGAAGTTTAAACTGCTGGAACTCAGCACAATGCCTTCAATCCAGCCAATAAAGTGGACAGTAAAGGGAGCAGTTGCTGCTGGAAAATGGGGTTTGATAAATAAATTAATCCTTGCTCTCTCCACAATAAGATTAAAATTTTAATTTATATATTTCTATATGCACATATATATGGAGATAAATAAAAACTTAAGAGGAGTTATTTGATGCTGCTTTAACTGGTTTTAGTGTGGTTATCTTTCCTACTGTAAATATAATTCTATGATAAATGTCATATCCTCTCTATAAAAAATAACTTCTCTCTTGCTTAGATGATTCTTTACATCACAGGAATTGGTGCTGTGAGGATTTTACTACCTGAAGTTGTAGCCAAGCGATGCATTCGTGCTGTCTTTGTTTCCATAGAGACCGTGAAAGTTGTATTGAGGTTTGCAGTGTTTTACATCAACATCGAAGTTACATGTCCAGTCAATCACAATACCAATAGCTCCTCCCTGTCAAACAAACACAGAACGTGATGGTTCCCATGGAAACAAGAGCAAAAAACACATAAACTGCTGTGATTACAGAGAGCAACATTTAAAGCAAAGATCATCTACATGAAAATTACCTCCTGGGCTAAATCTTCAAAACTGAAGCCAGAGTGTTTAACTATGTCTCCCAGTTTGAATATAGGACAGAGTGGATCATTCTCCGGATGGTGAAGACATTTCTTGAGGTATGCCCCATCAATGCCCTCCACCAAATTACTCCTGTAAACAAATGATTATTAGAAAATCCATCTATACTTGGTTTTATGAGTTCCTCTTGGTACCAGAACTCAGACCAAACTGAAAAATATTTCATAACAACTGTTGTTTTTTTGAGAACAAAACAGGAAAGTTTTCTTCTACAGTTTTAACACATGCCTCTTCATTTTATATTGATTACTGTTTAACATGTTAGTAAGATCCTCTTGTTTTTATTTGGTTTAACAGAAAGGAGCTCTATCACCTTGTGACGTCAAATAGAGGGAAAGTTACAGAGTTTTTGATGAAAAGTGTGTAGTTTTCTGCAGATGTCAGAAGAGGAGGCCTGGAATAGAGAACAAGAAAAATATTCAAATACAGTCTTTGTATATTTGCCAAATAATAATAGAATATGCAAATTCAATCATCATCACTAAAAACATCAAGGTCAAAGCAGAATTAAAACTTGATGACATTATTTCAGCATGTTTTGAATATAGGCCTCCTTACAGTAGCAGCCATTAAAAGTCGCTCTTCCCAGTCAAACGCCAGCTGAATGGCAGCCCACTCCCCTGTGACTCCCAGACAAAAATCCCCTCCAACTTCCAGCCACTGGCCGCCTCCTGGGCATGCATATTTTTTACTCTGACTCCACCCTTTCACTGAATTACAGGGTCTGACCAGGAGACAACGCTTCTCTTTAGATCTAAATGTCCACAAATTACGACAGAAAGAATATTTAAATATTGATGTTTAAAAAGCAATTGTAGCGGACCAGGCAAGGGCCCATCACGGAAACTGGGTAAATTTTGAAAGGCTACTACTGTGAATTTATTTCAGTTCGACTGAGAGTGGGAATTGCTTCAACACAAAGATTTAAAAATTTCATGCAAGCTAAGATCTTATTTAACCCAAGGCTGAGAAGATAGACATCTGTTTGATAACTAAGTATGTTATTTCTACTACCAGCTCATATACAGTTTGCCGTTTGGTCGACTATAGAGGACACATCAGCACCGTTAAGGTTTGGGATTTTGTCTCACTTCCAGTTTTGTCATATTTAACAATTCAAACTATTTTCTCTTTTTTTATTAGATTTTAATATGTAATAGCCTCAGACACTGGATATTTTATCTTGTATTTATTTTATTGTTGTGATAGTTTAACACACAAGGCAGCCAATACTGCTGTTGAAAAGTAGAGGGAAAGTGTTTTACAATTTTCTGTTTTTTTGTTTTAAGGAAAAAGTGTGTATGTGTATCGACCATCAGTTGTGGATCTGGACTTTTCTACAGAAACATGCTCTGATCTAAACTACTCCAATGTAGATTTGCTCTACAGTTAAAAGTAAAGCTACCAACCCAGTTTCGTTTTTTTTTTTTTTTTAGCTTTTCTTACAGTATCGAATTGTATCTTACGGTGGATTTAGGGGTGCAAACGCAGCATAAATGCATGATTTAACAGCAAATGTAAAAGGTCCAGACCCTATATACAGGCATAGACGAGGATGCTTAAACTAAATGATTAAAAAGATTCAAAGGAAAACATTTGGTGTGCCCTACTAATATTATTATTTTTGTGTGTTTGTTAGCATAATTTCTGTGCTCATTTGTTGAATTTAAAGGGACATAGAAATCCATTTAATGTGTGAATACTGAAAAATTTGTAGCCTTTCCCTTCGCTGATTTCTATTTTCTAGCAGCTTTTCCAAACTTGGAGTTGTTTTTTTTACTTGCAGCCTTTTTTCTTTGCATGTGTTTATTATTGTTGCAAGTCAATCAATTTTTTTAAAAGGCATTTATATGATAAATCATTTTAACTAACCGTTTCTCTGTCCCTGCTAAAAATAAGCATATCCATAGCATAATGTAGCCACAGCCATGTTTGACAGATAAGCTTATACAGGGGTGATATGGTGGTAAGTCTAATCTGACGAGAGCCCATTTTCTCACATATTTGCTGGGTCTCTTAATTATTTTGGCAAACTTCAATGTTTATCTGGCTTCTTGTGACAGTAGCTTTTATTCTTGCTCATCTACCACAGGGCAGATTTGTAAACTGAAACACTGAAGGCTGGTGAGTCCAAAGAACAACTGGAATCAATTTTCCACTTACAGTAGTGATCTTACTTAAGGCCATTTCGAGCAAAGTAAGCTAAATATAAATGTACACCCAAATTTATTCTGAGATTTTATTTCACTTTAATGGTCTACTTTGTGTTGGTTTATCACATAACCTCCCAGTGGAACACACTGAGGTTAAAGGTTGTGATGTAAGACAATGCAAACTATATGGTGATAGTGATATAAATGGTTGGAAAGCCTTATGCCAAAACATCCAATTAATTCACTAGTCCCTGCATCATGTTGGACGATGAAACAGAACCTCTTTTATTTGAGAGGAGCTGTAGCAACAGTCTGGTAATAAATACTCTCATTCTGTTTGCTCCAATAAAGAGGTCAGAGCTGATTTCTTTATTTCTCTTAGAAATGTGCGTTTGTGTCACCACAAAACCTAACCCCTTCCACACAAAAAAAAACTAAAAACCAAAAAAACTTACTATTGTATGTGGCATAGAAATTTCAATTGACACCAAAGCTTCTGACAGAAGCTCCTATGACCATGTACTTCACTAAAAAACGACTGTTAATGTTAGTGCTCCCACATGATGAGATTTTATTCATTTGCTAAATATTGAATTTGGAATATGTAGTTTTATCCTAATGCTGCCCAGGCACACAGTTGACCCCTACTTTGATGCTTTCAAAGTACAATGAAGGCATCCTGCCTGACCAAACAGCGCAGATTGTAGGATATATCTTGTGGATAGTTTTAAAGAATAAAAAATGGACCACTAAAGACCACATCTTTGAATGTCAACAATCTTTGATTGTTTAGTGTAAAATAGCAAGGCCTTATTGTTTTCTTATGAGATGTGTGTGTTGCTGTGTGTTGGATAAAAAATCCTCTGTCCTTAGGAGGCCTGGGTACAGCGCAGACCGTGGGAGACAACCTGGGAACATTCCCATAATTCTGCTGCACCACTGCAGAACTCACTCAGCTACAGGCTAATGCCTCCTAGGCATCAGCCCAAGGAAGCACCTCTATAGATCCTTCCCTCCAGCTGCTGTTAGACTCTGTGATCTGCTCCCAACACAATGCAAAGATTAAAACAATATTTTTTTAGATATAATATTTTTACCCTAACATGAAAATGAAATCATATGTTCTGCTATTGCAATGAGAATGATTGCCGAGACATAATTATATACATAATATAACGTAAAACCCTTTGTTGTTGCACAATGGGGAAATTCACTCTGCATTTTGACCCATCCCCTTGGGGAGCAGTGGGCTGCCATTGTGTGGCACCTGGGGAGCAGTGTGGAGCTAAGGGTTTTGCTCAGGAACCCAGAGTGGAGGCTGTTGGGATCAAACCTGGTCCACTGCCCTACATATATATATTTAGATATATATATATATTTACATTTAGATTTATATATATTTACCCACCAGATCATACGTCAAATTGAGTTTTATATCTAATGAAAACCAGTTGATTGCATCGACTCTTGGTATGCTTGTAGCGACAGTATTTTATATATAACTATATATATAACTATATATATATACAGGACTGTCTCAGAAAATTAGAATATTGTGATAAAGTTCTTTATTTTCTGTAATGCAATTAAAAATCATGAAATGTCATACATTCTGGATTCATTACAAATCAACTGAAATATCGCAAGCCTTTTATTGTTTTAATATCACTGATTATGGCGTACAGCTGAAGAAACCCAAATATCCTATCTCAAAATATTAGAATATCGTGAAAAAGTATACTAGTAGGCTATTCAACTTGAATCGTCTAATTAACTCGAAACACCTGCAAGGGTTTCCTGAGCCTTGAAAAACACTCAGCTTGGTTCAGTAAACTAAATCACAAGTATGGGGAAGACTGCTGATCTGACTGCTGTCCGGAAGACCATCATTGACACCCTCCATCAGGAGGGTAAGACACAAAAAGAAATTTCTCAAAAAGCAGGCTGTTCACAGAGTGCAGTTTCAAAGCACATTCACAAAAAGTGTGTTGGAAGGGGAAATGTGGCAGGAAATGCTGCACAACCATGAGAGGTGACCGCAGCCTTAACAGCATTGTGAAGAGGAGCCGCTTCCAGAATGTGGGGGAGCTTCAAAGACAGTGGACTGAAGCTGGAGTCCAGGTATCAAAAGCCACTGTTCACAGACGTGTCTGGGAAATGGGCTATAATAGCCGTATTCCCATGGTCAAGCCACTTCTGAACTCAAGACAATGGAAGAAGCGTCTGACTTGGGCTATGGAAAAGAAGCACTGGACAGTTGCAGAGTGGTCCAAAGTCCTCTTTTCAGACGAAAGCAAGTTTTGTATGTCATTTGGTAGTCAAGGCGCCAGAGTCTGGAGAAAGGCTGGAGAGGCACAAAATCCAAGTTGCTTGAAATCCAGTGTGAAGTTCCCACAGTCAGCGATGGTTTGGGGAGCCATGTCAGCTGCTGGTGTTGGTCCACTGTGTTTCATCAAGTCCAGAGTAAATGCAGCTGAGATTTTAGAGTACTACATGCTTCCATCTGCTGAAAAGCTCTATGGAGAGGATTTCATTTTCCAGCATGGTCTGGCACCTGCCCACAGGGCCAAAACCACCAGTAACTGGTGTACTGACCATGGCATTACTGTCCTTGATTGGCCTGCCAATTCCCTTGACCTGAACCCCATAGAGAATTTGTGGGGTACTGTGAAGAAGAAGCTGAAAGACACCAGACCCAACAATGCAAATGAGCTAAAGGCCGCTATTGAAGCATCCTGGGCATCCATAACACCTCAGCAATGCCACAGGCTGATTGCCTCCATGCCACGCCGCATTGATGCAGTAATCTGTGCAAAAGGATTCCCAACCAAGTACTAAGTGCATTAATGGACATTTTCAAATGTTTGATTTTGTTTTGCTGTTATAATGTTTTTTTTTTACTTGGTCTGAGGAAATATTCTAATATTTTGAGATAGGATTTTTGAGTTTTCTTCAGCTGTACGCCATAATCAGCTATATTAAAACAATAAAAGGCTTGCGATATTTCAGTTGATTTGTAATGAATCCAGAATGTATGACATTTAATGGTTTTTAATTGCATTACAGAAAATAAAGAACTTTATCACAATATTCTAATTTTCTGAGACAGTCCTGTATATATATATATATATATATATATATATATATATATATATATATATATATATATATATATATATATATATATATATATATATATATATATATATATATATATATATATATTTCAAATGCAAATCATCTTAATGGTCAAAACAAGGAAAAATGCTATTATTTTTTTAAGAACAAATAACTTATGTTTCTTTTAAAGTAGTGCAAACTCAATACTGTTTACAAACAGGTTTTTGATCTGATCAAAGATTCATTGGCACTGCTCTAATACTAACATGTTATACAGTAGAGAATCAGAACGAAGACTTCCTGTTTAAATATTTTAACCTCGTAAAGGTTGTCTCTTTTATTAGTCATATTTTTGCAGCTTTTCCTTTTATTCTGTTAATCTTTTGCTGTTTTTTTTCTATTTTCTCCACCTTTCTTACATTAATATGGAGTTTCTTGATAAAAGTTATAAAGTATTCCCTTTTCCATATCATTTTTCCTCCTTCTGCATCCTGTACATTTTTGTGTAATTGTTTTTTGCCACCCCTATACCAATAATTCCCCGCTGTGACAATGAAAGCATTTCTTATCTCAATCTTCCCACTTATTTAATACTTGTACACCACAATCCGATAACCGGCTGAGGCAGAAGGCAATAGTTGGACAAATTCCACCTGTGCTGCTCTAATTAATCACTGAGCCACTTTCTACTTTAAATATCCTTTAGACAAAGATAAACTGACTTTTACTTAAATATAATTTGACTTTATATCCATATGGATATTGAATTATACAATCATAGCAAGATAGGAAACAGGAAAACTCCCTCAAAGGGATCGGTGATACTTCTTTTTATATGAGATATTTAGGACAGCAATGCCAAAGATATTCGTTAATATTCTGTATAAATCAGCACGGCTACTGTGAGCTCCTTTCAGAGTGGGGTTGGAAAGACTGCAAACAGATCCACAATGTTAAACCAGAACCTTTATGACCATAGACACAGAGGCTGTAGTAATGGAGGCAGTTTCCATGTATACCGGACAGCAGAGGGAGATCTAGAGCTACGATGAAAGCCACATTTCTGCAGAGTTAAACCTCATCTTGTATCTTCACAAGAAGCCTAGAAAAACTCTGTGACTTTTATGTTTTTAGGAAATGCTGGTTTGTGTCCTTTTTTATTTTTAATTCAAATTCACATCATGCTAACAATAAATTGTTTGTGTCTTTTCAGCAGTAGTTTAATGAAAGTAAATTATTAAGCTATTTGATGTGTATTAATGGATGCGTTAAGTTTGGTAAGTGTTTTATTTCCACTAATAACTACAAGATGTGAATAATTTGTCAAATTTACTGTTTAAGTCTGGCATCTTTGGTGACAGATTTCATAATCTGGAGGTTTTTTAAACAGTCCCCATTTAGGAAACGGCGTGTCTAACTTTTATGACAAAGCGTTGGGCATACTGGAACTATTATAAAAATAAAGTCCTAATATTACGTGAATAAAGTTGTAAAAATAGAACAATAACGCCTTAATATTATTAGAATTAAGTTTAATTTTATTCAAGAACATTCATAATATGATTAGACAAAAAAGTTGTTTTAATAAGACAAAAAAATCTTCAATATGGAGTCATAAATTTAACCACAGCCTGAGCCTTTTAACTCAGGGGGGGGGGGAACTGTAGTTTATTACAGAGTTTACATTCAAACATGCTACCTCTTTCATTTCATAGTATTGTATTATTCTTGTGATATCACAGCTTCATTGTGGTGATATTATGAATTTATTCTTCTAATATTACGGCTTCAATCTGGTAACATTACAACTTTGCTCTTGTGATGTCACCACACTGCAGAAATTGAGACATTGTCTTGAAATATTGTATTTTCCCTGAATTTGATGTGACAGGTAAGAATCTGCCAATGGAATAAAAAGATTTTTAAAATAAGAAAAAAAAAAACAATTCTGTTATCTTATTTGAAGTGCATAACATCTAATTATCTTATTTTAGGGTAAAAAAAAATCTTTACATGAGCAGATCACCTTTCTAAGCTTCTATAATTAACAGAAACTGCACAAATTTAAGATCCACAATGTTACACAGGAACCTTTTTCTGACTCACTTAGAGAAACCTGGAAGCACTGTGTGGATCATGTTCTTTGATTTCTCCAGCTCTTTCAACACCATCCAGCCAGGACTCCTAAAGGAGAAGCTGGAGCTGTCAGGAGTGGACCAGCACATATCCCAGTGGATTCTGGACTACCTCACTGGTTCCCCACAGTATGTGAGATCACAGGGATGTGTCTCAGATAGGTTGTTCTACACTAAGGGGGTCCGACAGCGAACAGTGCTGGCACCGTTCCTCTTCACCCTCTTCACTGCAGACTTCTCCATCAACTCCCCGCTGACACCTCCAGAAGTTCTCTGACGATTCTGCCTGGGTCACCTCATTACAGGTGGGGACGACTCTGAGTACAGACAGTGGACCCAGAACTTCGAGGTCTGGTGCCAGCAGAACCACCTCCTGATTACTGCAGGGAAAACCAAGGAGCTGGTGGTGGACTTTCACCTGAACAATGAATTGGACTAGAATTCCAAAACTGAGGCTCTGTATAAGAAAGGTCAGATTAGTATCTTCCTGCTGAGGAGACCGAGGTCTTTTCGAGTGCAGGGGGCGCTCCTAAAGACCTCTATGTCTCTGTAGTGGCATCAGCCATCTTTTATGGAGCTGTCTGTTGGAGCAGTGGCTTATCTATAGCTGAGAGAAAGCGGCTGGAAAAGCTGATCAGGAAGGTCAGCTCTGTGATTGGATGCCCTTTGGCCTCAGTGCAGGAGGTGGGAAACAAAAGGATCCTAACTAAATGAACATATCTGTTGGATAATGTCTCCCACACCATGCATAAAGCTGGTGCTGAACTGGAGAGCTCCTTCAGTGACAGACTGCTGCACCCTAAATGCACCAGGGAGCGTTATCAAAGATCTTTCCTCCCAGCAGCTGGAAGACTCTATAACCACCACTGTTCCCAACAAGCTCAATAAGTTGTTATATTCATGTTGATTTTGCACAGTTTCTATCTTAGTTAAATAACATGCTGCTGTCATTTTGCACATCTGTGATGTTGCTGCTATTTTCAAATATCCATTACTGTAAAAATGTCCAGAGCATTATATTGGTAATTTATTCTCCAGGTGCACAGTTTTATATATTGTTAAAATACTTTATGGTACAGTATTTTATTGTTCATTTTTTAACTTTTCACTATTATGTTATTCTTATACATTTTTCTGTGTGACCATTTCTTTCTATAACCTTTTTCCCGCTGTAAACACCGGAATACCAGAAGAGAATAAAGGGATTTTCTATTCTATTCTACTTATTTACTTAAAGATATGCTCATTAGCTTTTTATTCTGGTAATATTATAACTCTTATATTTTATTCTCCTATAGTTTTTTTTTTTGAATTAATTTTTTAATTTACAATTTTACTTGTTATTTAATTACTTTAATTTTGTAAAACTAGTTTTATGACTTTATTATTATAATATTATGACTGTATTTCATAATTTTGAAAATTATATAGCTTTCACTGTGGTCATAATACTCTATCCTATTGTTTAGTTTTTTTAATGACATAGTTAAAACAAATAAGCTTAGTGGATATTTAGGTTTCAAAAAACAGATGAGAAATATTCCTGATCAAAGAAAAGCCCTTCAAGGCCATTAAATGTGCTTGATTGTAGATTTTGGGATCTCCTTTAAAGCACATCTTGCTGTGCAGGATTTTGAAATAAAAACACGAATGCATTAAAAGCCTTCAGTGTTTTCTAAGTTTTTTTTTTCTGCTTGGACCCCAACAGGCAGAAGATTTTCAGGCATATACTTACTTTGGTATGATGGTGTCATTCTCAACAGGGCACCACGCTAACACCTCACAGGTTTTTGTTGTGTTCACACAGACTCCAGTCATATGTCCTTAAAAGGAAACAGGCAAAATCTCATTATCAGGACAGAACTTTGAACTGAGCAAGCATGAGGCAGAAGTACGGCATGCGAGTAACAGAAACTCATGTTAAACCACTTTAGATATCCTCCACATTTCTCCTTATCTCTGATTAACATCAAGCGAGCGAAATATTAAAGTAAAACGGAGCAAATGCTGAATTAAATGTTTCCCTCATCTCTCCCTATTCTGGTGCTTTGCCTCATTAGGAGAAGAGTACCGGCATTTCACCAGCAGGCACTGCTCAGCTGCAGAAGCTTTTCCAGAAGCCCCACTGACCTGTATGGCCGGCAGGAGCAACCCCCACATGCTTCCATTTCAGCGCAGGGTCAGCCTGCCACCTCTAAAGGAACTCTGGCACAAGGTGAATTTGATGAGTCTGACGCAGACATATCTAAAGCTTTGCTCTTATTGAAGTCGATGCAGGACAGGGACAAGCAGAAAGGCTCATAATAGAAAGCTGGGCACAGATGCACGACAGGTTTATGTAACTTCTGTTTGGACTCATCTGAGGTGATCCCTGTTCTTAATGTTCCTCTGCTGTTATAACATGAGACAACTCAGATGCACAGCGTTAATCTGGTAGCTGTTTGCTTAAGGTTGGGTTTTAGGCCACAACACAAGCAAATACATCAAATGTTTGGTTGCCAAGAGTAACATTGTTGTTTTAATCCCATGGCCAAAGGCAAACTATTGTTTACATCTAAATGTTTAACTTGGTGGTGATCTACTGTAGGACTCTGTCAGTTCCTAAAAGCCCAAGCCTAGTTTGCAAATAGCCAGCAGACACCAGACTCTGCTGTTGTCAGCGGGTTATCAAGCAAGATCGCGGGCTTAGTTTCATTCGTTTCATTTCAGAGGCAAAACAAACAGGATGTTGTGAAGCCAAAAAAGTGTTCTGAGTTTCAAACATAAGGTTACTTAGAATTTACCATGTCCCGTACGTTTGTAACTCCCCTCTGTACAGTCATCGTTTGAGGTGCATTTACCCGTAAGCTGTTGGGAACAAGAGAATTGGGTCAGCTTTGCATATAACATGTTGGAATGTAAACAATACAGAGAAACACTGAAGCCTTAATGATCTCCCATACGATGCAGCCTGTTACTGTTGCATCGTACAAAAGCACTTTACTGCCAGACATCAATAAAACCAACTGCACAAGCAGTCCTGGTATGATAATATTTATGTTTTCTTTGACTATTTACGGCCGTGTGCAAGGTAGACAGGAGGGGAGAGAAGGACACGGGGAAAGAGCAGGAAGAAGGAAGAGGGGTTAGCAAATACCTCTGGACACTTTCCCATCTTCTGACCTTCGGTAATGATGAAGTTAGTCATCACAACGAACGATGAGTCTCCCTGAAAGATTTAGATTGTTGGATTGGAAAAGGACAAAGCCTGTTGACTAAAGAAATTAACCAGAATAATTGCAAACATATTTAAAATAAACCATGTTTGAATTTAGGTTTTTGTTTCTTTATTAGTATTGTAATAGGAATATATTTGTTATCATTGCTAATAGGTTTAGTGTTGTTTTTTTCAGAGACTAGATATAATATGAAATGTTTCTCACAGCTAAAATATTTAAACAGAACTTCAGAGAGTAAATTATCCTTTAGATAACATAATTGTAATATTTTCATTTAGGCTCCGTAAAGGAATGGTTTAGGCTTCCAACAGATTCTAAGCATTTCAGACTGCTGAAATTAAATTAATTATGATTTATGATCTGTGATCAATAAATATAACAAATAAATCAACAATTTACTACATTAAATGATCTGTTATTTTGGAGTCTTATTCCTTCACTACATTCTGATGGGTCCTATAAAAACCTTACAATGCAAAAGCTGAAATAGACTTTTTTTTAATAAGACTATTTTCCTTTGATTTGAGCAGATAAGTAAGACAATTTGCCAATAGAATAAGATCATTTATGTTAAACATAGCATGTTCTCCCTGAGGAGGGGTGGGTTCTCTCTGGGTACTCCGGCTTCCTCCCACAGTCATAAAACATGACTGTTAGGTTAATTGGCTTCTCTACAGTCCTCTTAGGGGTGAGTGCGTGTGTGAATGGTTGTTTGTCCTGTCTCTTTGTTGCCCTGTGATGGACTGGCGACCTTTCCAGGGTGTACCTTGCCTCTCGTCCAATGACTGCTGGAGATAGGCATCAGCACCCCTCGCGGGATAAGCGTGTTAGAAAATGGATGGATGGATGTTTAATATAAAACAATATATATCATGTTATTTCAAGAGCAAAAATTTATTTTTCTAATTTTAAGGCTAAAAAATGCTGGTTCTGTTGGCAGATAATCTTATTTACCTGAAAATAAACTTATTCTAAGACATTCTTACTTTTGTTTAGATTCCGTAAAAATTCAAAAAATATCCACTGGACTTGGTTTTCAAGATCTGAAGACGTTTCGCCACCTCTCCAGGAAGCTTTCTCAATTCAAATGTCTGGATCCGCAGTGAGTTTGAGTCTTATATAGACAACGCCTTGTATCGCTTGGAAACATGCAATAGAAACCGATGAATGGGTCGTTAGTTCCATCGTTAGCCTGTAATATCTGAAACTGTCTATGATTCTAGGGGTCGGTCGTTAAAGGGGGGATTGTCTCCTGTAATACCTGAAACCTGTCTATGATTGTTAAGGGTTGGTCGTTAAGGAGGTATTGTTCATCGGCTGGAGCGGGTAAGTCCCTCGTTCCTCTGTGATGGGGTGGGGGGTTTGGTGATACACTATATTGCCAAAAGTATTTGCTCACCTGCCTTGACTCACATATGAGCTTAAGTGACATCCCGTTCCTAATCCATAGGGTTCAATATGACGTCGGTCCACCCTTTGCAGCTAGAACAGCTTCAACTCTTCTGGGAAGGCTGTCCACAAGGTTTAGGAGTGTGTTTATGGGAATTTTTGACCATTCTTCCAGAAGCGCATTTGTGAGGTCGCACACTGATGTTGGACGAGAAGGCCTGGCTCTCAGTCTCCGCTCTAATTCATCCCAAAGGTGTTCTATCGGGTTGAGGTCAGGACTCTGTGCAGGCCAGTCAAGTTCATCCACACCAGACTCTGTCATCCATGTCTTTATGGACCTTGCTTTGTGCACTGGTGCACAGTCATGTTGGAAGAGGAAGGGGCCAGCTCCAAACTGTTCCCACAAAGTTGGGAGCATGGAATTGTCCAAAATGTCTTGGTATGCTGAAGCATTCAGAGTTCCTTTCACTGGAACTAAGGGGCCAAGCCCAGCTCCTGAAAAACAACCTCACACCATAATCCCCCCTCCACCAAACTTTACACTTGGCACAATGCAGTCAGACAAGTACCGTTCTCCTGGCAACCGCCAAACCCAGACCCGTCCATCAGATTGCCAGATGGAGAAGCGCGATTCGTCACTCCAGAGAACGCGTCTCCACTGCTCTAGAGTCCAGTGGCGGCGTGCTTTACACCACCGCATCCGACGCTTTGCATTGCACTTGGTGATGTATGGCTTGGATGCAGCTGCTCGACCATGGAAACCCATTCCATGAAGCTCTCTGCGCACTGTTCTTGAGCTAATCTGAAGGCCACATGAAGTTTGGAGGTCTGTAGTGATTGACTCTGCAGAAAGTTGGCGACCTCTTCGCACTATGCGCGTCAGCATCCGCTGACCCCGCTCCGTCAGTTTACGTGGCCTACCTCTTCGTGGCTGAGTTGCTGTCGTTCCCAAACACTTCCATTTTCTTATAATACAGCTGACAGTTGACTGTGGAATATTTAGGAGCGAGGAAATTTCACGACTGGATTTGTTGCACAGGTGGCATCCTATCACAGTTCCACGCTGGAATTCACTGAGCTCCTGAGAGCGACCCATTCTTTCACAAATGTTTGTAAAAACAGTCTGCATGCCTAGGTGCTTGAATTTATACACCTGTGGCCATGGAAGTGATTGGAACACCTGATTCCAATAATTTGGATGGGTGAGCAAATACTTTTGGCAATATAGTGTATCTGGAAGGGATCATGTCTATGATTGAATTGTATGTTTTTGGAAGCTGGAATCTCAGTCCACCACCTCTGTTTAAAGTTGGTTTTTCTCTCTTAACATAGATGGCTTCCTTCACGCCCCTCTCAAACCACCTATTTTCTTTATCCAGAATATGGACATTCTGGTCCTCAAAAGAATGTCCTTTGTCCACAAGGTGTAGGTGTACTGCGGAGTCTTGTCCAGAGGTGGCCGCTCTTCTGTGTTGGGCCATGCGTCTGTGGAGAGGTTGTTTGGTTTCTCCAATATAAAGATCAGAGCATTCCTCACTGCACTGAACAGCATATACCACTCCGCTCATATTTGGTCTGGGGGTTTTATCTTTCGGATGCACTAGCCTCTGTTTAAGGGTTTGGTTTGGCTTGAAATGTACTGGGATCTTGTGTTTGGAGAAAATCCTCTTGAGCTTTTCAGACACTCCAGCAACATAAGGGATAATCCCTTCTTTTGAGGACCAGAATGTCCATATTCTGGATAAAGAAAATAGGTGGTTTGAGAGGGGCGTGAAGGAAGCCATCTATGTTAAGAGAGAAAAACCAACTTTAAACAGAGGTTGTGGACTGAGATTCCAGCTTCCAAAAACATACAATTCAATCATAGACATGATCCCTTCCAGATATCACCAAACCCCCCACCCCATCACAGAGGAACGAGGGACTTACCCGCTCCAGCCGGTGAACAATACCTCCTTAACGACCAACCCTTAACAATCATAGACAGGTTTCAGGTATTACAGGAGACAATCCCCCCCTTAATGACAATCCCCCCTTTAGCGACCGACCCCTAGAATCATAGACAGTTTCAGATATTACAGGCTAACGATGGAACTAACGACCCATTCATCGGTTTCTATTGCATGTTTCCAAGCGATACAAGGCGTTGTCTATATAAGACTCAAACTCACTGCGGATCCAGACATTTGAATTGAGAAAGCTTCCTGGAGAGGTGGCGAAACATCTTCAAATCTTGAAAACCAAGTCCAGTGGATATTTTTTGAATTTTTACGGAATGACTATGACCTGGATGACTGAGAACCTTCATCAGCATATTTGTTTAGATTATTTTTTTTTTGTATTTTATAAAAAAAATGCAAAAAGAAATAATACTTGTTTATCTACTGCACAGTATTTGCTTTTATAATTTTTGTGATTTAGTTTTATAAAAGGTGAACCTCAAAACTGCAGAAATGTTGGTTGTCATCCTGACTTCAGTCGCCGATCAGAAAATTCACAAGATGATAACTGTAATATTCATGCTAACTGCTAATAACGAATTCTAAAGACAGTTTAGACTTAAAATTTTGTAAATAATTGAATGCCTTTTTTTTTATTAAAGTTAAAGTAAAAATTACTTTTGGCTATACTCCTCTGTCTCACGCAGTGTGACGTCATCAAGCTGATTCTTACTTTTTAAAGCACATACATGACACAGAGATTTTTTTATCAACTCGGTAGGATCACCTTTCCACTCAAACTGTTCACACCCGAAACTCAAACCAAATAATGTTTTTATTTCTTTCCCACAGCTAACGATGCCAGGCTGCATTTTAGATCAACAGATAAAGCTAACCACAGTATAACTTTCAAATGGCTGTATACATAACTCATGCACGCAATATGTTTTAAGAAGCAAGACTGCCAGTAAAGTTATAACAGCTACTCCAGTTTACAGCCTGATCAGATGGGTTCAGGAATGGATGTAAAATAAATTCATGTTGTATTATTGAAGTTTTGCCGTAGTTGAATCGGTGTGTGGTTTCCTTTTGACAACAGAGAGGTCTGATGTTTTCTCTCTGAGTCGGCCTGATTTTTTATCATTGTGACAGTTTGATTTATGAACTGGAAGGCTGCCTTTATCCCTTTCTAAATTATTATCCAAACAATTCTCCATGACTTCTTCCAGGTTTACAACAAATCCTTGTGAAGTTTAAACGAATGAAACAGCCAACTGTTAAAACCCAAGTAGTGAGCTTAAGCAGGCTGGTCGCTAACCTGAGAGGGGAAGACGTAGTCAGCCACGTCCCACACCGTCTCCCTCCCGCTTACGTTGGTGTAGCCCACTCCCTTCATTTTGGTGAACACAGAGCTCACAGCTGTGTCTGTGGATTGGTAACCTTTCTCATAAATGAAGACCCACCTGTAAAAGAGACATATGATAGTTCTATCATTGTTTCAACCACTTTCCTCTGGAATCCGACAGTCCAACCCCCCAAAAGGAAGGTTATATAAATGAGTGACCAAAGCATGACGCTCTCCACAGCCAGGAGGGACATGTGCAGCTGTGGGTCAACTTGTCCTTGTCAAAAAGGACAAATTTGACAAGCTGTATCACAAAATGTTATTTTTCTTCAGTTTGTGAGAAAAAGAAGGGTGACAGCTTTAAGGAAGCTGTTGGGTGCAAGTAATTCATGCAGAAAGAGAACATTATCTGTAAAAGGATCAATAACCATGCACTGCGCATTACTGCATGAAAACCAAAATTAAACCACAGCTAGCTTTGCTCTGCTATTCATGGTCACACATAATTTCTTTTAAATCGGACATGCAATCAACAAAGCGTCAAGAGTGCATAATAGGTCTGCATCTCATCTCAGAGGCTATATATATATATATATATATATATATATATATATATATATATATATATATATATATATATATATATATATATATATATATATATATATATATATATATTTATTTATAATGTTAGATTGAAATCCTCTGTTTAAAAGATTGTTGGTTCAGAGAGTCAAATTAACTTAATGTTAATTCCCTTTAGATGAGCTCCTCTACGCAATATAATGAACACCTAATCAGAGAATTTTAATTTTAAAAATGTATTGCTTCAAAAGGTAAGGAGTTAGTAAACTACTTACTCATGTCCATACCTTACAGATCACATTGCGAGGATTTTGGAGTAGCAGTGTACAGTTTTTAGGTAAAAAGCATCTAAATGTGTAGATTAACATTTGCTTATGTTATTCAATTCTTTTCTGGTTTAAAACAGTGCAAGTTTAGGTTTTGCCTGATGTTAAAGGGATATGCCACTAACTGTGCTGGAGCTACACAAATCCTCCAAACTTTTATCAGATTTCACTGGTCCATGCGTCAAAATATCACTCCTCCGCTTCACAGAAAACAGGAGCCCAGTGGGTTGTTTCATGGAATAAATTGAGCTTACATAGAAATTCTGGCAGAAAAATGGAGATATAGATTTTCTCACTATTCAGCCAACCTCTATAGTTGACTTCAGCAATTTTCTTGTGTAAGCAATTTCTAAGGCAACAAAAACATAAAGACAAGACTATCAGTTCTTAGATGATAATAAATAACATACATTTATAATATACATTTCTGTAAATAATCATTAAAGCAATGTTATTTTTGACAGCCATCGTAGATATAGACATAGTTTTCATCCTAAACATGAAAACTAAGTCTATTATTATCAGTTTTAGTCACATTTTAGTCATTATCTGATAGTTTTTGTCTCGTTTTAGTTATTTTTTATGTTACAATTCTTAAAACAGTTAACCTTTACATTTTGAATAACAATCAATTCTTTAACAGACTGACAGCTCTCGCCTGTATACTACAGTTGCTTGAGATAAACTGCTACTGTGCAGTTCATCATTGCTGTTGGGCAGAAAGAATTTTGATTTCTAGAATTCAAAAAAACGTTTTAGTTAATTAATGCCCTACTTTATACAAATGAGTCTCAAAAAAGTTTTGAAAACAGCAGATTTACTTCAACACACTAAATCAGTTAAATAGCAGACAGGTCAATTCACAACACATGTCATCTTAAGGCACTTTACAATTCAACCAGATCACACAGTGTAATTAATTCAAAGTTTGATGGTAAATGGTAAGTGGCATGTACTTATATAGCGCCTTTATTCAAGTCAGGAGACTTGACCAAAGCGCTTTACACTACATTCATTCACCCATTCACACACACACAGTCACACACTGATGGTGGCAAGCTACATTGTAGCCACAGCTGCCCTGGGGCTCACTGACAGAAGCAGGGCTGCCGTACACTGGCGCCACCGGGCCCTCTGCCCACCATCAGTAGACAATGCAGGTGAAGTGTCTTGCCCAAGGACACAACGACACTGAAAGTCGGAGTCGGGGCTTGAACAGTCAATCCTTCCATATCAGGGCAAATTCCTACATCCAACGCCACTGTCGCCCCAACTCATAGGCGGCGCTGGCATTGAGGCCGACGTGCCTATAGTGTGGCCTTCTTGGGTCAAACTATAGTTCAGACAGCTGCTGTCTGAATGAATAAGAGGCCCTTCTGATCTTTTTAATCACATGTCAAAGATAATAATACAATGATCTCTGACAGGTCACAACACCTTGAAAGACCAAAACAAATTATATAATGACCAGTTAGACTCACTTAAAGTACACATATTTATTCAGATTGAACACAATTGAAACTGAAGGGAAACTGGATGAGGCATATACATGCAGTTATATATTTTCGAATAAATACCAATATAAGAAACACAGTTGTGAGGAAAACTTTGAGGAGAGTCAACCTAAGGAAGGCCCTAGGGCCTGATAACATACCTGGGTGAGTGTACAAGGAGTGTGTGCAGATCAGCTGGCTGGTGTACTCTATTGATTCTAACATAAATTTTTACTTATTTTTTTGTTATTGATAAGAATTTAAGGTTTTGGACCTTATACGTTTGCGCTTCTTCCAAAACTCTTTTTCGAAGTATACGTTTTTTGTTATATTATTTTTATTTATGCCAAACTTGAAATTTTGTTTTTTTAATTTCAGTAAAAAAAAAACATAGAGTCATTACAATCCCTTTGAACAGAAATCCAATCCAAAGGATTGTCATGATCTTGTCATGATGACTGGTCTGATTACTCATTTCATTCACCTATCTCCGCCCAGTTCTCATTACCGTTCATCCCATCCCCTACTTCAGCCTCTTTTAAACCTGCTTTCAAATCAGTCATCAGTGCCAGATTATTAGAGCCTTTGGTGAGAGTTCTCTAGATTTCCTGTTCTGATTGCCTGATCCTGACTCCTTCTGCCTCCAGACCTCTGAGCCTGCCTGTACCCATTTACATCTGTTTGTTTGGACTCGTGCTGGATTTCTGATTGTCTGTGTACCGTACCTGAAACTGTTTCCTGAAGCCGTCCAGGATTTCCTCTCATCACCTTTTCCGACCTCATCCTCTGAGCTTGGAATGAACAAGTTAGTGACTCACATGTTCATTATCATCCTCCACCAAATAGATGTGGTCATTAACCTGTGTTCTCCTTCTGCAGAAGATCCTGCCTTAGACGCCGGCACTGTTCTTTGCAGTTCCGTTTTTAAATTAATGTTTTGTTAAACACTTGGTCCTTTTGCTCTGAGCTGCACAAATATTTGTGTGTGTGTATGTGTCTAATACATTTGAGAATCAATCAGTATGTACCATGTAGTCCATGAAACGTTGATTACGCTCTACCTGGATATCTTGAAATCGGTTGATGCTATGTTCTCACGAGAGGCGCTTTGGGCAGCAGAAGCAGACGTTTTACATGCAAAGTCTATGGCAAGCATCAACAAACTTGGTCCTCAAGGCCCCCTGTCCTGCAGGTTTTAGAGGTTTCTCTGCTTCAGCACAGCTGGTTATAATGATTGCAGTAGACCAAAAGCCTGTTAATCAGCTTTCAATTAAAATCAGCTGTGCTGGAGCAACGAAACCTCTAAAACCTGTCCTGCAGGTTTTCGAGGTCCCCAAAACTCTGGCCTTGAGGACCGAGTTTGGGGATGCCTGGTCTATGAATTACGTGCATCAAGGCTATCAAAAGGTCCTGCAGCCCTTCCCGAGCAGCAGGAGCAGTGCAACTAAGATCATTCCCCTGAAACTGTGTATTAATGCCTACATTAACTTAAAATGTCAAAACCAGTTGAACAAAATATGTTCACGTTTATTATCCTGGTGCCTGCTGTTGGTACCACATACCTGAAAAACATTAACATCTACTTCCAGCCGCCATGAACAGTAGGAGAAAACCCCAAGAGGTGACTGGGCCTGAGGCAGCTGCTGCTGGGTATTTCTAATGACAGTGCACCACCAGTATGTGGGGGTCTGTACACCTGAAAAAACAGGTGACAGACAGTGAAAAAATGTTCACGTTGACATTTTCACTTAAAGATACACTACCGTTCAAAAGTCACTTTGAAATGTCCTTATTTTTGAAGGAAAAGTATTGTACTTTTCAATGAAAATAACTTTAAACTAGTCTTAAATTTAAAGAAATACACTATACATTGCTAATGTGGTAAATGACCATTCTAGCTGCAAATGTCTGGTTTTTGGTGCAATATCTACATAGGTGTATAGAGGCCCATTTCCAGCAACTATCACTTCAGAGTTCTAATGGTACAATGTGTTTGCTCATTGGCTCAGAAGGCTAATTGATGATTAGAAAACCCTTGTGCAATCATGTTCACACATCTGAAAACAGTTTAGCTTGTTACAGAAGCTACAAAACTGACCTTCCTTTGAGCAGATTGACTTTCTGGAACATCACATTTGTGGGGTCAATTAAACGCTCAAAATGGCCAGAAAGAGAACTTTAATTTGAAACTCGACAGTCTATTCTTGTTCTTAGAAATGAAGGCTATTCCATGTGAGAAATTGCTAAGAAATTGAAGATTTCCTACAACGGTGTGTACTACTCCCTTCAGAGGACAGCACAAACAGGCTCTAACCAGAGTAGAAAAAGAAGTGGGAGGCCGCGTTCCACAACTGAGCAAGAAGATAAGTACATTAGAGTCTCTAATTTGAGAAACAGACACCTCACAGGTCCCCAACTGGCATCTTCATTAAATAGTACCCACAAAACACCAGTGTCAACATCTACAGTGAAGAGGCGGGATTCTGGGCTTCAGGGCAGAGTGGCAAAGAAAAAGCTATATCTGAGACTGAACAATAAAAGAAAAAGATTAAGATGGGCTAAAGAACACAGACATTGGACAGAGGAAGACTGGAAAAAAGTGTTGTGGACAGATGAATCCAAGTTTGAGGTGTTTGGATCACAACGAAGAATGTTTGAGAGACGCAGAACAAATAAAAAAAAGCTGGAAGAATGCCTGACGCCATCTGTTAAGC